CATTAGAGCACAGTGAACATTAGAGCATAGTGAACATCAGAGCACAGTGAACATTAGAGCATAGTGAACATTAGAGCACAGTGAACATTAGAGCACAGTGAACATTAGAGCACAGTGAACATTAGAGCATAGTGAACATTAGAGCACAGTGAACATTAGAGCGTAGTGAACATAGAGAAGGGTTTGTTCTCTCACAGCCTACAGTCTGTCACTGAGGGAAGTCAAGGCAGGATCCTGGAGGCAAGAACTAGAGCTGCCTACTGGCTTGCTTTTCATGGCTCACTCAGCTGCCTGGCTTCCTTCCTTTTAGATTTATTTTATTTTCTATGTATGACTGTTTGCCTGCATGTATGCATGTGTACCATGTGTGCCTGGTGCCATCAGAGGCCAGAAAAGACATTGGATCCCCTGGAACTGGAATTATGGAGGGTTGTGAGCCTCCATGTAGTTGCTGGGAATTGAACCTGGGTCCTCTGAAAGAGCAACAAGTTCTCTAAAGCACTGAGCCATCTCTCCAGCCCCTCGGTTTGCTTTCTTATACAACCCAGAACCCCCTGCCCAGGGGTGCCACTGCCCACATCAGCCATTAGTCAGGAAAATATTCCACACAGATACCCACAGGCCAATCTGATGAGGTCCCTCTTCCCAGATGTCTCTAGTTTGTGTCAAGTTGACCAAAAAAAAAAAAAAGAAAAAAATCACCACAGGGCTCATTTGCATATGTCTGCAGAATACAGTCCTAGAAGTAAAAGTTTTCAGTGGAATAAATATAGTCAAATTCCCTTTAAAAAACTAAATGAGGGGTTGGGAATTAGAGCTCAGTGGTAGAGCGCTTGCCTAGCAAGCCCAAGGCCGTGGGTTCGGCCCTCAGCTCCGGAAAAAAAAAATTAAGTGAGAGAGAGAGAGAGAGAGAGAGAGAGAGAGAGAGAGAGAGAGAGAGAGAGAGAGAGAGAACGAACGAACATGCGTGCTTGCCATGGCACACATACGGAGGCCAGAGGACGGCTTGTGGGAGTCAGTTCTCTCCTTCCATCCTGTGGGTCCCAGGAACCAACTAAGGTCATCAGGCTCCGTGACAGTCACCTTTATATGCTGAGCCATCTTGCCGGCCCCATTTTCTTTTCATACAAGCGAAGCCATTCTTTATGAATGAGGAGGGGACCACTAGCTTCAGTTCCCGGCCCACCTCTGAGCTGGGATTGGAATTCAGTTGTGAATAGCAGTAGAGAACGTGGACACTCTCCCTGGAATGATTCTGTGCATGGACATATTCATGTGGGGAGGGCACACTAGGTGTGTGACCTTTCCAGTCAGACTGCTGGTCTAAAAGTCCTGCCAGACTCTTCTCTTGAATTCTGACTGGAAGAAAATGACCCTCAACATCCGGTAAAAGGCCTGACACTATCCACCTGCCTGAGGGCACTCACAGGGATCAGATGAGTTGAAACACATGCCCAGTTAGGGACTTAGAGGGGCTTAGAGGGACACCTGGTGACAGCAGGGGCCGTGTATGTCTGTGAGTGCACATGAAGGGAGTCTGCGTAGGTCTGTCTGTCTACTGTTACCTTTATGTGCCCGACCTGACTGTGAGGTCACTTCTCCCATCCCAGAACCCTGTGTCCCGGGAGACACAGCCAGCATTCCCACAGACAACTCTACCCAAGCCCAGCTAGCCCCTCACGGGCCAGGCGTGCCTCGTGAGGGCCACCAACCGTCACTTTCCCTTCTTTCTCTGAGGTGAGGGTGGGCAGCACCAGAGATCCAGTGGGCTCGGTGAGAGGTCCGGGGTACACTGACTGAAAACAGTGTTAGTCCCCAGTAAGCACCTGTTCCACAGCTCTGTGCTGTTGTGAAAGCGCGCTGGATATTTTCTCTCAGGTCCGTCGAGGGACCATGGAAGGTAGGTATCATTATTACCTTCTTATAGAAAGACTGCACGTGTGTGCCTGTGGGTTACAGTCAGAGCCCTGTCTGCATCCTGTGCTCCTCAGAAGTGGGGCCAGGAGAACAGCATAATGCAAGGTCCAGTGGCACCTGTCAGTGACACCGATGGCCAAGGTCCCTACCACCCAGGGGAAGAGAAGAGGTACTTGGCTCCATTCTCTGTTTCAGGCTTTTGGATGCCAGTAAGGGAAAACCCCTATGCCTGACCCCTGACCTCTTCCCTGGCAGTACCTCAGTCTCTAACGCCCTCCCCCCCTTTTTTTTCTTCTTCTTCTGGTTTTTGAAGGCAATTGAGGAATATGAGTTGGAGAAGAAGTCTTTAAAAGAGAAAACTCACGGCAGCCCGGGAGACAAAGGCAAAAAATCCTTTCTCAGCCTGAAAAGTGTTTTTGTGGGGTTTGATTTTTGATTTTCTTTTAAAGTTTAGATTCTTTTTAGCCTTTTTGTTTTGTGGTGCTAGGCATGGATCCCAGAGCCTGTACATGCCAAGCACACGCTCTGCCACTGAAGTGGACCCCAGGTTTTGGTTTTTAAATCTTTGAAATGCAATTGAGTAGGAGTCCAGAGTTCTACCTGAAGATAGTTTTTTGTCCTCTTCTGTAGTAGCCTTCCATCAAAATGGACATTGGACAAGGGAGGAGGGAGGGATGGGATCACGTGGGACTGACTATCTGCTAGGTGGCACACCGTACCAGGTGCTTCGATCCCTGTCCCTTCATAAAGCCCACCTGGTGGCGCCATCAGGTATATTGGACCCAGGAGAGTCCTGCCAGGAAGAGGAACTTGCCTATGCACAGTGTCCTGTCTTCCGTGCGGCTTCTAAACAGATAGGCCAGGACCTAGCAGTCTGCTGGTCACCAGGCAGCCCTCCCCAGCAGTCTTAGCTCTCAGTAGCAGGTGCGACCACCCCTCCTCATGGCTGCCCTTCTCCTCCATTCTTAGTCAAACAACCGAAGGAAGAGCTGCCGATAACCTGCAAAGGCTCAGAGCTCCGGAATGCCAAGCTGATCCTGTCAAAAAGGGTAAGAGGCCCACGCTGTTGCTTTTCCAGTGGTTTCTGTTATCCACAAAATGGGTTTTATTCCTCAGGAAGGAAGATTTGGCGCCTAGACGGTGATTCATAGAGAAAGCGCAGGGTTCGAGTTTTCAAAGATCTGGGGATACTTTTAACTCTAGAATTGCTGACGTCAGTCTTGAAAGGGCAGAACCGAACCCAGCCTTGGCGACAAGTGTTGCAGAGTCCTGTGTCCTTTACTGTGAGATCTGAGGCTTCTCCGCTTAGAAACAGGGTCCTCCAGCTTCGCTGCGATGGTGCCGCACAACTGTGTGCCCTCTGCACAAGAGGTTCCCATGTCTCCACTCTACTCACGGCGGGTGCTGGTGATCACTGCAGACATGCCAGGAAGCTGAGATGCCGGTCCCGGGACGTGCAGCGTGTCAGAGGAAAGGCATGGCTCTCCCCTCAGTTCTCCAACCCAGGGCCAGCCCCCCTCTATGGCCAGCCAGTCCCCCAAAAGCTGGTTATTTAAACTATATAGATCACTTGTACCCAAAGCCTTAGGAAACAATGCATTATCTTTTCTGAAAAATTGTTACTATATTTATTTTGTGTGTGTGTGGGGGGGGGGGTTTGCACATGCCATGGCACATATGTGGAGGCCTGAGGACGACTTGCAGAAGTCAATTCTCTCTTCTACCTTGTGAGTCCCAGGGCTTGAACTTGGGTCGGCAGACTTGGCAGCTGGCATCTTTACTCACTCACCGGTCTTGATTCCTTCTGTTTCCATTACCTTTTTATAACTTTTAACTTTGTAAATTCCAAAACAGCATGAAGCCTGGTGCAGGACTCTGTAGTGAAATTGCCTCACATGCCACTGATGGGGTCTGGGTGGGTACAAATGCCCTGCCTGAGGTGGCACATGGAGTAAATGGCAGAGTGGCCTCTGATTCAGGATCAGCAGTCATTCAGCAAGCTGCTCTTTCACGGTCCCCTCCCAGAGCCAGCTTATAGAAAGGGAACAACTAGCCCTTCACAGTGTGTCCAGTAGGTGCAGTAGGGGGATGGCAATTGGACCCCTCACTCCACTCTCCTGCATTTTCCTGTATTTTTTTTTTTAACCAGCTGTCATGTTTGAGTTTGGTTATAAAAATTAATTTAATGATGCATACTCAGTAATGAGATATATTGGGACAGTTACATCCGTTGATACAATATTACTGTTTTAAGAAAATCATGCTAGCTGGGTAGTGGTAGCACATGCCTTTAATCCCAGTGGGAGGCAGAGGCAGGCAGGTTTTCTGAGTTTGAGGCCAACCTGGTCTACAGAGTGAGTTCCAGGAGAGCCAGGGATACACAGAGAAACTCTGTCTCAAAAATCATGCTAAATAAATGACGCAAAGGGGAAGGTATGTACTCTAAGATATTAATGACAGTAATATTGAAAGTAATCAGGGAGAAGTCAATTAAACTGTAGCAGTTTAAATTTTTTTTTGGGGGGGGTTTGTTTGTTTTATTTGTTTTTTTGTTTCGAGACAGGGTTTCTCTGTGTAGCTTTGCGCCTTTCCTAGATCTCACTCTGTAGCCCAGGCTGGCCTCGAACTCACAGAGATCCGCATGGCTCTGCCTCCCGAGTGCTGAGATTAAAGGCATGCGCCACCACCTTCTGGTTTAAATGGAAATTTTGAGAACAGTACACGTATACACACACACACACACACACACACACACACACACACACACACACACAGACCCGGGAGTAATCGAGAGTAAAGGTTAGACTGAAGTAGAAGATAAAGTGTGTATGTGTTGGAGAGACAGGTGTGGGGGGGATTAAAATAGCATAAATGTATTTGGAAATCTTTGCTCAGAGCCTTTATGGAAAACAGAGCTGATGTAAGCAGATGTTGGGGGGCGGTGCTGGGGAGGGAAGCCCTTGTTTGCTCCCCGTCTGTGAGTCTGTTGCACATGTTATTGTTTTAAACTGTCAAGATGATGGACCCCATTTCCTTAGTGTGCTCTTCTTCTTCAGAAAACAGCAGATAAGAACCTGCTGGCCGAGCTGCACCAGCACCCCCAGTTTAACGAGACTAGGCCCAACAAGCTTCCCAATGGCGTGGACTTCTGCGACATGGTGGGCAATGTGATCCGGTCTGAGAAAAATCCCCTCAGTGGCAAGGTAAGGAGGAGGGCAGGAAGTCAGCTGTGCCCTGGCTGTGCACGCGTGCGTGTCAAGGTCAGAGGACACTGAGAGGGACGGAGCCCGGCCATCAGTACTGGCAGACATGCTTTTAGCTGCTGAGCCATCCTGCCAGCCCGTGCAGTGTGCCTTGATCATGTGTCCTATTTAAAAACAAACTGGAGCATGTACCCTCACAGATACGTGTCTGTCTGTGGGCCGTCTGCTGCTCTCTCAGCTGCCCTGCGGCACACTGGTAAGCCTGACTTTCTAGTCAGAACAGTTATGCTTCGGTGTGAAGTATCCCCCAACAAGGCTCATGTGCTAACGGCTTGTTCCCACATGTAATGTCCCGAGGGAGGGTTTGGGGAAGTGACTGGCCGTGAGGGCTCTGTCTTCAGCACTGGTGTACTGATGGAGTCCTCTTTTGATGACGTAATGGGGATTCTGTCAGTTGCTTTTCTCACTGCTGTGACGGAATGCCTGATGGAGACGACTTAAGGAAGAAAGCTTTGTTTGTTTGTTTGTTTATTATTTCTATCTTTGAGAACCCATGGTGGGGTGGCAAGGCCGAATGGATCTGTCTCTGTCTATGGCAGTGGGAGGTGGTGGCTGCTTGTTTACATGGCAGTAGATAGGAAACAGAGCAGACAGTAGACTGGAACTAGGCATCTTGAGAGCTGTGCGGGCATAGAGCTTTGGAGGGAAGAGTGATGATGCCCAAAGATGTCACCTGCATGGGTGAGGCAATGTCAGAGGCAGGCGGCAGCTGTGTGGAGGTCTGCAAAGGGAAGACGCTCAGAGCGCTCTTAGTGACCGTGTAGCTGGGTTTCTCTGTGTAGCTTTGGTGCCTGTCCTGGATCTCGCTCTGTAGCCCAGGCTGGCCTCAAACTCACAGAGACTCACAGAGTGCTGGGATTAAAGGCGTGCGCTACCACCGCTGCCGCCACCACCACAGCCCAGCTGGTCTCTTCATCTTTTATGGTTACATAATCCCTGTCCCCAAAACAGCTCTGGTCATTGGTCATTGACCCATTAGCTCTTAACTGGTCAGCCCTCCACTCCTGGGACTCACATGTCAGCTGTACTCACTGCTGCGCACACACATGCGTGTACACACACACACACACACACACACACACAGCCATCTCCCTGTCTCTATCTCTCTTCTTCCCTTCTTTTCTTCTCCTCCCCTCCTCCTCCCCCTCTTCCTGGCTCCTTCCCGCTGCCTGGCTGTGCTGAGTCAGTCCGACCTGAGGGAGATGAAGAGTGAGGTGTGTTAGGCAGTAGCAGACACACAGGAGGCATCATTCCGTAATGTTTATGATATGGTGGGGACAGCACAAGCTGAAGGTTTGCTCCCCTGAGTTTGTGAGTAGTGGTCTTGACTTTTGACTCGTGTGTATTTATTACTGATCAATAGACTCCCGTGGCTCCACCCTTGCATTTGTGGAACAGCCTCACAGGTCCGCAGCTGTTGCTGCCCAGCGGTAAGAGGGAGGGGTACCTGGGGGCCTCCATCTAGAGTTGTGGGTTCCTAGTACTGTCTCTGCCACTCGCTGGTCATATTCCTTTGGGTAAGTCCTTTGAGCTCTGTGGTCCTCAGTGTCCTGAACTGCATGCGGGGCCTCAGTTTCCTAGTCCGTGATAATAATGTGGGCGCCAAGATTCCAGCCAGGTTAAGAGAAAATGTCATGTCACTTGTCATCGGGCCATGAAAATCTTGAGGACTCACTGGAAGCTTAGGGGCTTTTTTTTGTTGGTTTTCATGGTTAGGGATTCAGCCCTCAGGAGGCTGAGGCAGGAGAATCACAAGCTCCAGGCATCTTGAGCAACAATAGCAGTAACAATAACAATGACCACAATACTAACGCGAATTTTGTTTTTTTTCAAGTCTTACTGTTCAGACAGAGAATTAGAGAAGTTTCTGTCTTCTCCCTCCTTCAGCGCCATCTGGCTGGACAGCTTTTGGTGGATATTTCATGAACGGTACCAGGTAAATGTGACTCCGTGTCTCCTCCCTCGCTTACCTTGCTTTCCTGTGGAACAGAGCCCTGTCTGTAGCAGCGTGGGCAACAAGTCCCTCTGTTCCCATGAGTCACCTCCGCAGACAACCTGTCACCTCCCTCCGCAGGCCCCGCCCATGTACCTGAACTTTTGCTGTTACCCAATGCCCTGCAGCTCCCCTGAGCTTGAGCAGACAGTCTCTGCTAAGTAGTGGCTCCAGGACAGGCGTGAAAGGAACCTCCTGGCCCAGAGTTAGGAGTTTTTCTTCCCTGACACTCCATACATGCTTATGTGGACAGCAGGCAAGCAGCTCATTCCTCAAAGCATAGGAAGCTAACTCTCAAGATCAGTGGTTCTCAACCCATGGTTGCGACCCCTTTGGGGAGGGGGGATCAGATGACCTTTCACAGGGGTTGCATATCAGATATTTACATTACAATTCAAAACAGTAGCAAAATTGCAGTTATGAAGTAACAATGAAAATAAGCTTATGGTTGGGGGTCATCACAACATGAGCTACTGGATTAGAGGGTCGCAGCATTAGGTCGAGAACCACTGCTCTGGAGAGTAAGGTTCCTGACCACTGAGGGCAATGCTTTGCCTGAATTGCAGACCCATGCCAGCTGTGGTGGTGCAATTCAAGACCAGCCTGGGGCCACCTGGTGAGGCCATGTCTGCTAAAACAAAGGACAAAAAGCATGGCAGCCCCTTGGCAGCTGCAGCAGGCATGCTGATGTCTGTCTGTCTGTCTCTCTCTCACCTGGCAGCCGAACAAGGAGATCCAGCACAAGCTGTTTGACCGAATAGCCCGAAATTACGCCATCCTGCTGTTCAAAATGGTCCGGACTCACTATGAAGAGGCACTCATAAAAGTGAGTGTCACCTGCCGCTTAGAAAACACTTTGCTGGCAAGAGAATGCTCCAAACAGGCATTTCACAAAGGAGTAATAAGTACCCGTGCCCAAGCTTATAATTAAGCCATTGCAAAGAAGTATGACTGAGTCCTACACTTATTGGGGAAGACGTAATGATATGTTTTGAGTTGGGGGAGGGGAAGCAAATTATTCAATGTTTTAAACTGATGTGAATATAGCAGATGCACATTTTGTAACAGACAATTCAGTTTATCATAGATTGCATCTCTGGCAGTGGCCCCGTGAGTTACTATCACTCAAAGGTGACAAGCCGTTATAATTGTGTACGTACGTACGTATGTATGGTCTGTAGTGTGTATACAATGATGACGTCACCTATTGATGCAGTTCTCCATGTGTTCTCACCATTAGATGGTGACACAACTCTGTGAGTATATGCACACCAAGAATAGAAACAAATCTAGAAAATATCTGCCCAGTTCTTAGCAATGGCGAGTGAGGTACTAAGAGATTTAATTTCTCTATTTTTTTTAAGAATTAAAACCTCTTTATTTATGTATGTGGGTGTTTTGCCTATGTAGCAATGTGTGCCGTGTGCACATAGTGCCAGCAAAGGCCAGAAGGGGGCCTTGGATCCCCTGGAACTGGAGTTACAGTTGTCTGTGAGCTGCCATGTGGGTGCTGGGAATTGAACCTGGGTCCTCTGGAAGAGCAGCCAGTGCTCTTCACTGCTCCACCGTTCTTCTGTCCCCTTTGCTCTTCTATTTCATGTTTCTATAGTATTTGAATGAGCTTGTAATGTTAGAATGAGAAGTGTAAACCCATGTCTACCTTTTCTGTGGATGTGTGTACGACCTAAAGAGATTGTTGGAAGAAATGTGTCAATATTTAGATAATTTGCAGGTGAGGAAGGAGGGTGTAAACATGATCTAGGAGAAGCAGCCATAAAACAAAAGGCTGATAGATTGAACTATGTATCCATACTATATGTATGTGTGTGTATAATTATATATATAGATATATAGGTATATAGATATATAGATATATAGTGAGACAAGGTATCACTCTAACCCAGTCTAGCTTCAAACTGACTATGTAGTCTTGACTAGCCTCAAATTCTCCATCCTCCTGCCTCAATCTCCAAGTGATAGGATTACAAGTCTGTGTCTCTATACCTCTCCCTTGACTGTATAGTTTTTTGGAACTACTACACACAAAATTAAGATGTAAATAACAATCTATACAGAAATACTGGTAGCATTTTTTTAGATTTGTCTTTTAATGTGTATGAGTGTTGTGCCTACATGTATGTCTGTGCACCATGTTCATGACTGGTGCCTGTGGCGGTCAGAAGGTGGCACTGGGTCCCCTGGAACTAAAGTTGCAGATGGCTGTGGGTTGGGTTCTGGGCACTGGAACTGGCCCTTCTGCCAGAGCAGCTGACGTTCTTAATCATTTAATCGCCAACTCTCCAGCACCTGGTGGTGTGTGTCACCCAGCGTAAGGAACTGCTGCAAATCAGTGAGAAGGATTCGGCATCTCGGGACTGGGGAGATGGCTCGGCAGTCAGCAGCCCTTGTTGCTCTTACAAAGATGTGGGTTCAGTTCCCAGCACCCACCTGGTAGCTTATAACCATCTTTAACTGCAGCTCCAGGGGATCCGATATGTTTTCCTGACCTCTGCAGGTACCCAGCATACATGGGCTACATGAACATATATGCAGGCAAAACACTCAAGTCTAAAACAAATTAAAAAAATCGGACATCTCATAGATCCGTGGATAAAAGTACAAAAATGAGAAATTTACCAAGAAAGAAGTATGGATAGGAGAAAAATTTAGCCACAAAACAAAATGGAAATGAAAATAATAATTGAACACCCTTGGAGCTGGGGGAGTAGCCCAGAAACAGAGTACTTCTCAGCATGTGTGAGGTCTTAAGTTCAGTCTCCAGCATGACACAGAGAAGAGAGGAGAGGACCCCCTTTAAACGTTGTATAGTGGTTCACATCTGCAATTAATTCCAGCATTCAGGAGGCTGAGAGAGGATTTTCATAAGTTCTTGGGCTGCATGGTGAGTCCTCATCTCATTATTTTGGGGAGACAGTGATAGGGAGTTGCATGTGTATGTTAGTGTAGACATCTCCATGTCGTGCTGTTTCCTGGCCTGTGCTCTGAGCAGAGTGTAAACGCACAGAGCGGTGGAACACTATGGAGGCATGCCCGGGGAAGAGTCGAGTTCTTCCTGAGGAGCATCCTCAGTGACATCCGGGGATGGGGAGACAGCCCAAGACAGAAAGGAAAGCAGCCTGGCGCTGGGAAGGAATTTGGTCCCAGGTTCTTGGCCCGGCCAGGGCTCTTTTCTGAGAGCAGAGGCACCGGGACTGATGCTGAGCTCTGCTTCTCCCAGAGGCTCCCGTCGCTTCTGAGCAAAGCCCTGTACACCAGCTTCTGCTGCTGCTTCCCCCAGTCCTGGTTCAACACCCACGAGTTCAAGTCGGAGATTTGTAACACGATGGGCCTGTGGATCTCAGGTGAGAGGGGAGGGGCTTCCTACCGACTAGGGGAGGAAGTTAGTTCAAAAACGTTTTCCACCGGAGGCTGGGTGTGTTTTTTGGCTGCCTAACGCTCTGCATCACGACAGCTTTCCTGTTCTCTCCTTGACAGTGAAGAGTCCGAGCTTGGTGCTGCGCGCCGGCATCCCTCGTGTTTGAAAGGCTATAGCAGGGATTTTGTGAGTTCAAGGCCAGCCTGAACTCATGGCAAGACGCTGCCTTAAAAACAAAAACAAACAAACAAACAAAAAAAAAAAAACAAAAAAAAAAAACCACAATGAATATCGCAGTCAAAATGAACTATAAAGAAAGTTAAAGCTGGGCATGGTGGTGCAGTCTCGGCACTTGGGAGGCAGAAGCAGGAAGATTGCTATGAATTTGGGTCAGCCTGGGCTACAGGGCAAGTATCAGGCCAACCAGAGTTACTTAGACTCATCTCAGAACACCAGAGAGGAAGAGAGAGGGAAGGAAGTGGCGAGGGAGGGAGAGAGGGAGGGAGCTGCAGTCCCTAGTCCCCTTTCCTTGTAGACAGTTCTGAGACATGGCTGCCCGAGCGGATCTGTGTTTCACCTCATCTGCAGGGAGCAAGGCGGCAAGTACCGGTTCAGCCCTGTTATCCATGTCCCAGTCACCCCAGAGCAGCGTGACCCAGGTGGCCAGCTCCACGTTGGCTTCCCAGCAACTTCTTTCCTTTCCCCACTTCCTTTCTCAACCTAGAACCTTCCTGAGATGGCTGAATGCTGCTATTTATCCTGAGATTTTTGCTGGCTAGATATTGTACGAAACAGGCGCCTTTGACATTTTATGTTGGGAACAAGAAGGATGAGAAGGTCACTTCCTCATGAGGAGCTTTGTCACCATGGCTAAGCGTTCCCGTGTCCAGTAGGAAGCACAGCTGGATCGTAGAGGAGGAGGAGGAGCAGCGTGCTTTGGAGGATCTCTGTGCAGGCCGCCTAGTGCTCGCTCCCTCCTTACCACAAGGAGTCACACAGAGCCCATTTATCTACCTGCCAGGGAGATGTAGTACGAGTGTGTGATGTCTCTGCCCAGGAGAAGCACATCAGGGATTCAGAGGCCAAGGTGTCATTCAGGGTCCCCTTGGAGATACCTCTGTCCATCTGCTGTCTCAGTCCTGGAGGGCTGGCATTTAGCTCCGTCACATTCTATACCGACAGCCCAGGAACAATAGTCCACCCATTAAAAGTAGTTTTGTGTCAATGCGAGGAACTGTTTGCCGGCTGTGTTCCCAGGCTCTAGCCAAGGCCTAGCCTTGCAGGCCTTTGTAAGACAGGAAGCCTTGGGCCTGCTCTATGAACTCTTCACTGCACACCCTTTCAGCCCTCCGAACATGAAGGGTTAAAGAAATTCAAGAGCAAACAACTGAATGCCATGTTTTAGACCCAGGGTTGTTCCCCTCCAGAGCTAGGTCTTGGGTCACCGTGGCAACCTGTCTCTCTCATTTCCCACCTTCTTCCGGCTGCTCCTTCTCCCTGGTCCTGTTTTCACCTAACTAATCACCAGAAATAAACCTCCCGGCTACTCCTAGTGCACAGTGGCTCAGATTTCCCCACTGACCCTTGGAAGCATCATTTCTGGCGCTCAGTGTAGCCTGAGAGCGTGTTGAAGAAACCTTCACTGAGCACTTATTTACTGCTGCTGGGTCCAGCAGGAGGCCCTGGGGACACAGACATGACCCCCTCCCAGCCCCTGCTCCTGGGGAAGGGGGCTCATTGTCCAGCAAGAACAATGGAAGGCGAGTAAGAAAGTGGGTAACTGTGGCATCTTCATTAACACTTGTCACTGAGTCCCACACCCAGGCGCCAGAAGATGGCAGGGCGGGCAGCATTGTCCCCATTCTGTGGGTGAAGAAACCCTCTAGAGAGGACGAGACAGGAAGACCAGAACAATACTGCCAGCAGATCTCCGGTTCCCTGTAACCAGCAGGAGACTCAAGGCCTCTGCTTCCCTTTGTCCTGCTCCGTTCTCACTGGTGGAAGTGGCCATCACCACTCTTGGCTTCTTTTAGGGACATATCCTTGCCCACAGAGCTATGACAGTTGGGACTACTCAGAACTGGATCCAGAGAGGTTCCGGAGAGAAGAATTGATGTTACAGAGCAGTCGACTTATACGGGGTAAGTTCCCAGCTCTGGCCCTGTCTCTTCCGTTCCCTTACACAACCCAGCCACAATGTAACTGATGTCTCCGCCAGGCTCTCTTCCATAGCCTTCCAAACTCTCTATCAAATGAATAAAATATTGGTGTTTATGAATATGAGGAGTAGAATTTTACATTGGGTAGAAAGGCTGGGTCTCTTCACAGCAATAGGAACGCTAACTAAGACAGTCTCATGTTCTGATATTGTCTATGAGGCCTACATGTTCTGTACTTTATTGGGTCTGTATGTTCTGGTATCATCTATGAGGCCTGTATGTTCTATATGTATGTTCTAGTATCATCCATGAAGCCTGTGTGATCTAGACTCTATTGGGTCTGTATGTTCTAGTGTCATCTATGAGGCCTGTGTGTTCTAGACTCTATCAGATCTATATGTTCTAGTATCATCTATGAGGCCTGTGTGTTCTAGATTCTATCATGTCTGTATGTTCTAGTATCATCTATGAGGCCTGTGTGTTCTGTACTCTATCAGGTCTCTATGTTCTAGTATCATCTGTGAGGCTTGTGTGTTCTATACTCTATCTGTATGTTCTAGTATCGTGTGTGAGGTCTGCATGTTCTATACTCTATTGGGTCTGCATGTTCTTGCATCATCTACGAGGCCTATGTGTTTTGTACTCTATTGGGTCTGTATGTTCTAGTATTGTGTATGAGGCTTGCATGTTCTATACTCTATCCGGTCAATATGTTGTACTATAGAATATGGAAAGCTAGTTAATAGGAACCTAGGAGTTTATTGATGCCTGGGACTTGCTGGAACCTCTGTGTATTGTTTCATCCCCATGACAACCAAATGAACTTAAGGAGACCCTACATGCACGTCACAGATGAGAACACCGATGGTCAGAAGAGTAACTTGCACAATACCAACTTTTTTATTTCCTTCAGCATGTCATGTCATAGACATGTATTGGTGGCACACATCTCTAATCCAAGCACTTAGTAGGCTAAGACAGGAAGCTTTTCTCAAGTTTGAAACCGACCTGGTCTACTACAGAATAGAAAATTGTACTGCTCACATGTCAGCTACACTGTGGAGTACTCTACAGCTCATTGCCATCGCTATTTCACTTTGGCAGCTAGTTTGAGTCTGTGACGTTCATGTCATGTCATACCATGTCATGTCACATCACGTCACGTCACGTCAAGAGCTCCATGAGCCAGGCCCTGGGCTGAGAGTATCATTGGGCATGTGAGCCTTGCCTCTCCTCCCTATCCAAGGGCAATGGGAGGCACTTGAGCTACAGCATGTGGATTGTGCCCACCTTGGGTGGAGACGGTGCAGAGGCCACATGGAGCAGGACCAGGACACCAACAGTGCAGTGCGGAGCATTCACACTGGCATTTGAAGGTCCGTGTTTCAAACAGGTAGAAGCTGTGGAGGTTAGGTCGATTGGAGCCTGCGGCTGATCAAGGCCCCCCCACCTGCAGCCACAGGGAAGCCGAAATATGTTTGGGGTTCCAAGGAAGAGCCTGGCTGTACGCCTTGCAGAGAGCAGGCTGCAGTGTTGGTCTGGAAATTGTAACAGCGCCCCCTATCCCAGGACCAGAGCCTGCCTCTGCTGTCACTGTCCTAAGCAAACAGACATGCTTTCCCTAGCCAGCAGGTACAGATGGGGTTTCTCTGTGTGTCCCTGGTTGGCCTGGGACTCCCTCTGTAGACCAGGGTTTTGTTGTTGTTGTTTTTTTCTAAGTGGGGAGAAAAGAAAGAGAGAGAGAGAGAGAGAGAGAGAGAGAGAGAGAGAGAGAGAGAGAGAGAG